TGTCAGCGATCATAATCAATCAGATCGTCCAGGTTTTTGGATTTTTAACTAGTTGAGAAACAATGTTATCAGGTAGAGAATCTTGAGGATACAATTAGTATCGTAGTACTTACTTTTAATGTAAAAAATATTGCGCAACAAAAATTTACAAATATACACCATAGAAATTCGTTGACGTAACTTCAATTTAACGGTGGTTAGATTATCAGTAAAATGCGACCAGTCACATTCATTAATTATTACCATTACTTGCTACTATATATAGCTTTACATCCATTTCACGACGTCACGAGAAAGCTTACCATGTGTAACCCTCCCCGGGCGCACGTGTTAGAGTGTAAACTTAGTGTAAGTCTATATTACTCTGGGTTCATACCCTGTATGATAAATTTATATCCCGTAATCAGTGGCGCCATCTGTTTTTTGTTTTTTAATTTACAGTGGAAAATATACGGAACCTATTAATCCGCCCCACCGCGGAATGAAACCAGTAGTCGTTGTTCTTCCTTCTCTCCAGCAGTTTACCTCTCGTTACTATGACTGCCATCATCACACACACGGTACTCGCCGTTTGTGTAGCTGAAGAATCAACACGCATGCCAGTACATATTGATCAGTGTTACATTGGCCTGCGAATGCTCAGTATGTTGAGAGTGGGTCGCGCTTGCCACCTTGCTCCCTGCAATCACACGCATGATTCACCCACACTTTCTCGTCGCCTTCAGCTTGATGCAAGGACAGAGAGTTTCCGCTATAATAAAATCATCCATTTTTTCGCTTCGTCAGCTTCTCGCACGACTGCAAAGACTTCAAGACGACGTAAGGTGTCTACTCCGCTAAGTAACAGCCTGGTTTGTTAGCAGCGTATGACAAAAATACGACATACGCAGTATCGCTCTCTATGACACTATTGTCATAGGAAGATTCTTCCTAGACAGACTATTTTGTATGGGTTGCGCATCATAGGAGTTTAGGGGGGGCGGCTATTATCGGAAACGCGAGCAGTGAATTCACGCTGTAAAGAGAACGAGTTGACTCGCCAATACTTTGTCCATAGAACGAATCTTCTATGTAAATATGTGTCATACGGAGAGCGTATATGGCGTATGTCGTATTTGTCATGAGATGATCAAGAGAACACTGTTGCACGGTAAGCAGTGATGTGCTAGTGTTGATTGTAGCTCATTGCCACTTAGATGGCGTCATTAAATCGCCCAGTTTTGTTCGTCACGGCATACGGTATTTCGCCCTGCCACATATTGTTGAAGTGGGCTCAAGCGGAACAGTTATGTGGGCGTTGAAACAGAAGAGACAGTTCCAAGTTTGAGTAGCCAATCGTTGCTTTTCGCTTTTAGCCTTTTGTCTCTTCGTTTTTTGTCATTTATTTTTGTTTGTCGCACGTGCATTTTTGTATTACGATATTTTCCGATCTCATTTGTAGGCCAACAATGAAGTTCTTCATCTTGCTCGCCCTGGTGGGCTACGCCTGCGCTGCTTACTATACTGACGCCCCAGAGTTCCAACCACCGTGGTGCAGGGACCACTGGCCTGTAGCACGAGTTGCAGGAGAGGGTCAGAGGAGTCCAGCAGCTCCTACGCCGTGAGGGATCGCCGTCCGGTGCCGACTACGCCGCGATTGAAGCCAGGCTGGCCGAAACGCGCCCGAGGCCGCTGGATACCAGTACGCATACAGGAAACGGATACAGCCTCGTACCAGCCCAAGATTCTGTACAGCTTACTCCTCTCGAGCCCCCATCCTGCACCATGGAACCAGGAGGTTGCTCTGCCCTGCCATCAACACCAACATCTCAAGCTAACATTGCCGTGGCTCAGTAGTCTACCCCACGTCAACGTACTCCCCCCAGCGTCCCGAGTGCAGCGCGACCCGGCTGTTGGTGGAACGGCATGCGCACACGAGGATACGGACTTGGTAATGGAGGATACGAGACTTGGTAATGTGCATACAGGAGTTGGTAATGGAGGATACGCGAACTTGGCAACTGGAGGATACAACATGCCAAAAGGTGGATACAGGCTTGACAAATGTGGATACGCGAAAACTTGGGCAAAAAGTGGCCCTACGAACTGTAATGGTAGGAATACGAGACATGGCAAAGTGGAATACAGGGCTTTACCAATGGTGGTACGGACATTGTAATGGAGGATTCGACTTGGTAATTGGAGGATACGGACTTGGTAATAGAGGCGATACGGACATGGCCAAAGGTGGCCATACACGCTTGCAATGCGTGGCCATACGCACTGACCAAGTGTGGATACGGAATTGGCATGGTGGATACGCTTATGGACAATGGGGCATACACATGGGCAAAGGTGGATCGGAACTTGCTAATGGGCGGATAATCCCTTGGTTAATAGGGATACGGATATGACAATGGTGGATTACGGACTTTGGTAATGGGGTACGACCCTCCAACCAGAATTACGGTGCGGTAACATTATAAAATCAACATTTCCAAATTGAAAGAGTATTAGTTATCTATATTAATGAGTACTGAAGTTTCTGACTATCACGTAATTAAGGTAGAAATTATTATCCAGGGGCTATGAATATCACACTGCCATCTTTATTGCGATTCTCGAATTATGTTAAGGTAAGAGCATATTATGTTTTCCTCGTCATACATGTAATGTAAATCAACCATGAGCCCGTATGTATATGATGATATTAAATAGCATAATTGTACATAAAATATATAGTTGCTGGAGCTTCTTGTCATGTAGCGCACATATTTAGACTCTTACTGAAATCGAAAGCAGACAACCATAGTTGCGTTCAAGATACAGCTAAGCATATGAGCGGCATGACACTCGTTGCTTAGTCACGAAAACATTTTTCTTGACGCAAAACATGAGCCTCCTATTTACACGCAGGATTGCTGCTATTCACACCCACGATCAGGTCGCATGAATTGAGACAGTGAGCCTAAAATGGTGTACAACTGCACTGTCCTGTTTATTTTTGCCGTGTCGTCAGCCTGTGCGTGTCTGTACTTTCGTCCGTGCGATCTATTCCGATCCATAGTCATCTCTCTGTATTCAGCTATTCATTTCTAATTGCCTAGTCAAACGATACACTGTGACTTTGCGTACGCGTGTTTGCCTTGCGTTCGCTGTTTTTCTAGTTTGCGTGTTGCCAAGGAAAAGATCTCAGTCTTGGAGCTAGACGCGGACGTGTGGTTAGAGAAAGGCGAGTCCAGCCATGCGTTACTGATTGACGTGATAGCGGTATACGCGTAACGGTTCTCTCTCTATCTCTCTCTCTCTCTCTCTCTCTCTCTCTCTCTCTCTCTCTCTCTCTCTCTCTCTCTCTCTCTCTCTCTCTCTCTCTCTCTCTCTCTCTCTCTCTCCCTTTCTCTCTGGCTGATTGCGCTCGTTGTTTAATGGTGACACACACAGTGGCTTGTTTGTCGAACAATTCTACTCACTGTCGTTGCAGTCAAGGTTAGAGATCTACACGTGAATCGAAAATTGCTGTGTGGAAATTCAGTAGTCGTAGGTATAATTAAGCTAACACGTGAGTAAAGACGCGATCTTCCAATAAATTATAGCGGTCTCTGAGAATCGCCATCATCTGATGTTTCGCTCATCGAGTTTCGTCATACCAGCATCGCCAGATGTAATCACACAGAATATAGTTGGAAGTCAAGGAGAGATTATTATTGCATGAATAAAAGGAAAATCTCCTAATTGATGAATGTATGGAGCATTATGAGAAGCGAGTAAAATTTCGTTTTATACACTTTCTAAAAAAAAACATTTTATAAAAATATAACGTGATTTTAGTCTATAAAAATACATGTGTTTTACTCACTCTACTATTTCGCAACGAATTCTAAAATCTGCATGGAAAGAAGCGGACTAAAAATTTATTCAACTGACTAATTGACTGATGTGAACGAGGGTGCCGCAACCTGACATAATATATAACGTAACTTTACATGATATAACTTTACGTAACGTCGCCGGCCGATCACACTTAGACTGGCACGATAATTCCCGCATCCGAACACCGCCTTATAGCGCACGAGGGCGTTTTCGAGATCATAGGTACGAACAGAACCAGTCATCAGCTCTCGAGTTATTACCTTTGTGCGTTAGTGCTGCAGGAGGCAGCATTTATAGCAACAATATTATCAAGAAGACTATTTCTATTATGGATTCTTCATATTATACATGTGCAGACCGGGTGACGCGAAGGAACCGTTGCCCCTGGCAACCATGCGTGCTACGTGGACGGACAAAACGTGTCATCGGTGCTCCTAACATCCACTCTCGCGTCGCGTTCAGATGCCAAGGACGAGAGTTTCTGTATAAAAACGCCGTCGCCACCGTCCGTCGTCACCACTCGCTCTCTCGTCACACATCAGACTTAAGGTGACTAAGCAGCTTCTATATACTGGTTTGAGCACAAAAGCTGCGCTCGTTGTATTTAATTTGTGATTACCACGCATATTTGAAACTCAGTGTGCAGGTAGAGAGAAGGCCAGAGCGATATGTATTCAAGCTTCGAATATCCTTTGCCTCCTCCCCCATGCCATCCCGTCGAACGAAACGCGAAGCAATATCGTTTACGAGAATTTAAAACCTTCATTTCACATATTATTATTTTATTAATAATTTTACTATTAGCAGCTATTTACTTATTATTATTATTTATTTATTAGTATTTTATTGTTCCTCAAGCTTGCAGCCCATTAGAAGCGCTAAAGCTGTTCTCGGGAGCATTAAAACAATCCGCTGTATATACGGCTTAATTAACACAAACTCCGCAGCCCCACCCGTCACTCAATACGTATACATAGATGCATAGATAGCACATTTTAAGTGCAATTCTCCACATTGCCCGACGAAATATAACTGACCATTATAAACGACCAAAGAGGATTTTAATCCAGTTGTCCTTTGTGTTGCTAATATATTTCTAAACATCGTATCCGTATCCGGTAAGGCGGTCGAATAATATCCGCGGATAACAGTAAAACTTGATGATCGTGTGACGTCACGAGCATGATCGACCAACTAATCTTCCCCCGGATCAAGACGTCAGCCATTTGTGCGTTCATAGAGATTGATGCGGCGCCTGATTACAAGGTCGCACGCAGTGCAAACAACACGATATATCGAATGAAAATCCTCCCCGGTGTCGCGCGAAATTCCTGACTTGCGCAATACATGATATCAAGAACTAATAATACCTAGAGTGTACAACGGAAAAACGGGAAAATAGTGCTATTTCGCGACAACATTATTCTACTTTGCCTGCGAGTTTATAATAATTTCATGGTATTGCCGCATAGCAGAAGTCTTTTGCTCTCTAAAACAAGACCAACCGCTTGTCAATAGCTACTCCTAGGCGGAGATATCGGCCTCCTAAACCTCCCTCCCACATGCCAAACGCGCCGCTCGAATCCACTTCGTTTTTATGCTCGAGCGTCAGCTTTACAGTCCATACGACGCTTAGCCGCTATTATTAGCTCTTTTGCGATCATATAGATTATCCCGCATATGCATGCGCGCTCACCTGTGCTGCCTTATTATCTAGCGTAACTGCACCTATGTAAATCGAGGCCTGCCACGTGCAAATTATCTGAGGTGACAACCACAACTGTGTGAATTATCTGACTGCTGTCTTGTATCACTGGATTGGATGTTGATTATCATGTAGTGGTGTTTACAGCCCTCTACGTTGGACTCCGCATTCTTCTGAAATCTGTTCACGCCACGCGATCTCGATCAAACGGTTAGTGCGTTTTTTAATAAATTTTTAGTCGGCGTATTCCATTCGACCGCAAGCTTTTTATCCGCCGATTACTGGATCGATGATTTTCTCCGTAGATATATTAGGCGAA